TCATTTAAAACGAGAGAATTTTCTGCCAGCCAATCTTTAACCTCTCTCAGGCAATCGTACAGGGAGTTCAGTGGTGCTGCCAAATCATCAGTCAGTTGACAATAGATTTGAATGTCATCAACGTAAAAGGATGAAGAAAAGACCTAAATGAGTGCCAGTTGCCAGCTTGTGGAAAGCAGTTTCCCCCCCATCCTAAAACAATCTCCAGTTCAGGCAGTGCCACTTAAAACATGACAGCTGACAGACACGGGACACAAACTCCCCTGCTGTAGCATAATCGACCTTTTCATGGCGCACGAGAGAAATTCAGCCAGCAAAAAACGAACGGATCTCCTGGGAGTTTACTGGGATCCACTCTGAGACCGTCTGCATTGGTAAAACCTACAGTATTTTAGAGCTAAATGGTTTTATTCATACCTCCAAACAGACACGTCTTTACCAGTGAGAAGGTGCTGTTGCTCAAACTGGGAGGCAGGGGAAATGGGCTCGAAAGGTTTCGAATGTCTAAAGACGAGTTCTTTAGAGGTGTGTGAGAAGCTACGTTTTTAGAAGTGACTTTTGGCTGATTTTACTTATAGTTCATTCTCATTAGAATTAACCCAAAAGGATTATCTTCTGATTCATCTTATATATATGTGCATCTTATCCTAAAACACCAGCTATCAGTTCCCTTTAATGCAGTCCCAGGCAGATCAGCCCCCATTTCAACCTTGACCCATCTGATCTCAACAACTCGCATGATGGTGACCCGTAACGACCCATATGATTACTAGTGGGTCAAAAACCCTTGGGACCGTCTCTAAGTCTCCAATAGTCTCAATCAGTTGCTTTACAAGTGAAGAAGCGTCTTAGACTAAACATAAAACATCTTCACAAACCAAGAAGTCCAGATACCTTTAGCTTAAGGATGTAGTCTAACATGACCTGGGATTACTAAGAGCCTGCATAGACTCATCCTATAGTCATGTAAGAATTCAGAAGGTACCACTAAATATATCTATATCTATATATATATGTAGTTAATGGGTTCTCAAGACCAACCTGCAGTACCATCATTGCCCACTACAGGGGCCACAGCCTAGCATGAAGCAACCCCAGAGCTGAAAAGCCTGGTAGCCTCTGTGGATTTTCTCCTTTATAATAATCATGAATAGACTGGATTTAATTGTATTTTTCTTACAATCATCTGTCTAGATAACTGAGTTTAAATCAATAAACTCTTCGATGTGTGTGTGCTGTTGGAGTGTTTTGTGGCATTTTAACAGCTTACTGTATGTGACTAATAGTGTGGATGCTGTGGGGTACTGACGATCCCAAAACTGATTGAAGCTTCATAATGTGTGGGAAAATCAGAGGCCTTCTTTTATACTGACTGTTTTTTTAATCTCCCTTATTTCACATCATTGTGATATGGAAGCTTGTTTCTACCACATAAAGAAATGTTTTTTGCCATCATCATTTTGGGTTTTTATATCAGCTTTGACTTATTAACTTGAAATGTGCAGATAGAGCAAGATCACCATATTCTTAACAATTTTTCTTCATTTATTCTTTCTTTCTTTTTAAAAATTGTTTATTCTTCATTTTGGAAAACAGTGACTATAAGACCATTTGTTTATTAAAAAGTGGTTTAGCTTTAATTATTCACATTCCAAAGATGAATACACATGAAGCCAGCCTTCCCCCCAAAACAAACACTTGTGCATAAAAGCTGTGATAGTCCACATTTATGGAGGCCCAAAGTGTCTGATTTTCCATAATAATAAATTAAAATAATGAAATAAAAAAATTTATATAAGGAGATACGCAACATGCAACCCCAAACCTCTAAAATAATTTGGTGTGCGTTTGTTTGTTTTTTTTAGTTCACATTTGTAATTTTTCATAATGCCACTACATCTTTACTGAGAAACACTTCAAGCATGAAAAAAAAGCTGATTAAAAATAACTTTTATGAATTTATAAATGGTTAGCTTGCATACATATTTTCTCTCTTATTATTCATATTTATTTTTGTAATACTGCAATTTATTTAGGGACTTTAAAAATACTAGTATTTTGTTGTGGGTAGAGTGGATTTTCTTCTAAATTTCATTTTACACGATAAAAGTTAAGTTATTGCAAACTCTTTAATCGGTAAATAATATATATATATTTTTTAATGTTGCCATTAGTTTGTGCCCATTTTTGTGCCTCCATACAAGGCACGTTTCTCTCCATTGGTTGTCCCTTACAGGTTTTTTAAAAGCTCAGTCCAAGTCTCTCTTAGTGGTAATGAACTCGTCCAATCGTCCCGGTCCCCGTAACCAGGATGTCCGGCTGCCCGTTCCTCCAGATCTCCCTGACGATTCGCTCCCTCTCCTCCAGCCGTCGAGCCTTCTCCAGCTCCTCGGCCGAGGTGAAAACATTCAGGCTCCTCAGAGTGCCGTTAGACTGGCTGCTGCGGTCACTCAGAGGACCCACTGTCACTTTAGGGATCTCCGTATCCACCGCCCTCTCCTCTCCTACACTCTCCTCCTCTTCTTCCTCATCCTCCTCCTCTTCACTGGACTCCTTGAGCTGTCTCCTCGATGGAGACGGAGGTGGTTTTCTGTGGCGGCGAGCCCTGCAAGTGATGCCGGCCACCAGGAGGCACAGCGCCATGAAAAGCCCGAAGCAGACGCCCATCATGAAGTAGAGGGCAAAGCTCTCTGGATTGGCTGCACAAGAAGAGGGAAGAAAAACAAATTTACTGAAATAAAAGCATTAAAAAGTGGATTTATTAAGCTTTTCTTTATTTTCTGTCATCTCTATACTGTTAGAGTTGTGGATGCTCATATCAAAGACAGCGAAAGTTTCAAATACTCAGATCAGTGTATGTTAAAGTAAACCCTGTGAGCCAAAAACTCAGGTTTCAGACTCTAAACGCTTGATTTTCACCAGATTTTCTACTCTTGGCTCTTTGTGATGTCACTAAGAAGGGATATCCCTAATATGGCCGCCTCAGGCAGAGCGTTATTAAAGCAAACTATTATGGCTCTAGGTGTGAGCACAAAGGCCCCACCCACTGTTGTTAAACCCTTCTGTTTGCACGAGGCAGCCAATCAGAATGAAGTTTAAAGTATAAAGTTAAATAAAGATTTCTTTGAACTGTAACATGCAGAGTTACTCGTGTAGGAGCTTAGAAAGAAATATTCATGTACAACCTATGTAAAGTCATACAGTGTGGTGTAGCAAGCTGCCTGCGGTTTTATAGATTCATCTAATAACCCCTTGAGGTTGTCCCCAACTCCATGGTGGAAGCCACACTTAAAGCCCTGCTACGATTTTACCTTTGATGTGAGCGTAGGTCGCCATGCTGTTACTCAGCAGCTCCATATCTCTCTTAATGGGCTCCATCTTGGTTCACTGTGTGTTCAGACACGCACCATCTCCTTTTACGCGTTTACCTCCTGGATAACCCGAGGCAGATCCTGTCAGAAAAACAAAAAAAAACAAATGCTTTCAAAGTCATCTCAAAAGAAAAAAAAGTGTTTTAAGCCTAAAAAATGCATTGCTCCAAAGCACCACCCGTCATTCTTCTGATCTAAATGGGTGTCAGAGGTCAGGAGACATTGTCTTCCTCTGACGACACTCAAGCCAGGCAGAGAGGACGGCAGCGAGAGGTCTGCTGAGACCGATGGGGATGTTTATATTTATGAGAGGGGCGCCTTTCCGGCTACGCAGTTTTTATTTTTTTCCCACAGAAGAAGTGGCATGTCAGGTTTCACATGTTCACTCCAAGAAACTCACACTCGTGATGGGAGACCGGCAGGAAGTGAAAAGGTCGAGTTCACAGAAATGTAGCAGTGAGTTTCTAATTTCTGCCTCTTCTCCAAAACAATGGAGCTGAGAGGAGTTGTGTTTGTTTTGCACACAAGGTTTCACAGCAAGTTATTTCATTATTTAATTGGTATTTATATAAAGTAGGAGCATTTCTCTATTGTTAGCTTGTGATAATCTTTTGGCAGGTGTTAGATTTTAGTAAGTCATTAAACTGGATGTAATATTCTTTTGTTTATTATCTGTCATATGCACTCACTGGCCACTTCTTTAAGTACACTTGTTCAATGCTCTATAACATAAATATCTATTATATATCTAAATGATCAAGATGACCTGCTTAAGTTCAAACTGAGCATCAAAATGTGGAATAATGGTGATGTGAGTGACTTGGAATGTGTCATCATTGTTGGTGCCAGACTGGTCTGAGTTTCTCAGAAAGTGAAAAAGAGAAAGTATGCAGTGAGCAGCAGCTCTGTGGGCCAAGATGTCTTGTTGATGTCTGAGGTCAAAGGAGGCCAGATTGTTTTGAGCTGATAGGAAGGCCACAGTAACTCAAATAACCATTTGTTACACCAACGTATGCAGAAGAGCATCTCTGAATGTTAAAGCAGTTGGGCTACAACAGCAGAAGACACAGATCCACCTTGGCTTGTATCATGGTGCAATGGTGGGGTGGATGTTTCCTTGACGCCTTCCCTTAGTGACCACAATGCACTCATCTTCTCATCGCTGCTTCCAGCAAGACAATGCACCATGTCACAAAACTCATGTTCCCTGTACTCGAATGACCTCCACAGTCAGTAGACTGTGATCCAACACAGCACCTCTGGGAGGTGAGATGAGAACAGGAGATTCTCATCGTGGATGTGCAACCAACAAATCTACAGCAGCTGCGTGATGCTGTCATGTCAGTATGGACCAAAATCTCTGAGAATGTTTCCAGCACCTTATTGAATCTGTGCCACAAAGAATTAATTAAAGTGTACCGTGAGAACACAGAGTACAAACGTGGCAAACACGCCGTTGTCCCTCTTTGCAATGCATTGAGGAAGTAAAGAAGCTGCTCACAGCTGCAAAAACTTAAAACTAATTGTTTTAATGGGGGTTAAACAGCCTCAGGGATGCCTACAAAAACATTAAGAAAAATGGCACCTAAATCTCCGGGAGAGACATTCTGTTTTTTGTTAGAGATGTTTAACAAGTATTTCACTGTTAGCAAATTTAATTATCATTCAAGAGAGTAATCACAGTTAAAAAATAAATAAATATATATATATATATTATCCTGAGGACAGCCACGGATGTCAGCACAAAACGACCTGACATTTCCCATACAAAAAAAAGCTTCTCAGAGCGACTGCATCCTTCTGTTATTTGGGTGAATCGACCCTTTAAGAGAGCGAGGGGCTGCATTAGACCGCGGTAGATGGATTTGCTCCGGACCCGTCTCGCAGACGGTCCCACGGTTACAGTAAGGCTTGACGTAAACATGATGACTGATACTTCCCACCCCCTCACATTCCCTGTCACTACAAAAACAATTTCCATGGGAGCCGAATGTTTTTCTTTCTCCTGCTCTCTCTCTGGGGAGGACCAAACCGTGCCCCGTTCCAGTTGCTGCTGCTGGGGGTTTGGGTCGCTCTCCCACCCTGATCTTTATCCCAGCGACTTTTGGCAGCCCCAGTGTGCTCTCAAAGGCTTTCTTTAATTTGCTTTTGGGCAAATTAAAGTTGTAGTTGCTTTGTGGCTGGCTCGGGGTCCATTTACTCATGGGAACTGGTGGTTCCCAACCAACGCTGCCTTCTGTTTGGGATTTAATCAAAGAAGAAGCGTGACTACTTCTGCACCCTCAATTTGCTGCCCCCAGACCTTAACAACATAAGTGAGCAATTTAGTTTTCAGCTTAGCTCGATTCAAACGATTAAAGACTGACTTTACACCCTGTACTTTTACACAGTTTATCAAGACTGCAGCATTTATCACAGCAGCACATATCACCTCATTCTTTCTAAGTTTTTTTTGTTTGCATCAACACTCATGTGTCTGTGGGCAAAAATATCAAACAAATCTCAGCTTAGGTTAACTTGAACTCCATCTGCACAGAGATTTAACATTGAGGTTACATTTTATTTCTTTTTTAACTTAAATTTTAAATAAAAACGAGGAAACAGTTATAAAGTGTTATGCAACAGCAGGGAGCAATTTGTCCAGGGATTGGGGGAGGATTTCCTTCAGTGTCTGCTTAGTTATTTTTATTTTTCCGGTGGGGGATAAAAGTTCTTTCCATAATCTGATTTTTATCATTGCATCTTGAAACAGTCCACAGCACAAACAACAATCCCAAACTGACTTTCACTATCAGCGCTGGGAAAGTGAGATGACACTGCAGGAGGCCGGATGATCCAGATCCACGCTGTTCCAACTTTTCATGACGCTGCCAAGCACCGCTTAGAACAACAACTAGAATGAACGTAAATTTTTTTAAAATGATCCTTTATTTTTTATCTATTTAAATTATTATTATTATATTATTTTTTATTTTGTTTACCTATTCTTTTAAACTACCATTAATGGAATAAAAACAGAGTCACAAAATTTAAAAAAATTAATTAAAAAAACATCCCCAGGCCTTCCTGCTCAGTTCATGTTTCTACTTTCAGGTCACACAGAATAAAATAGTTAATTTTGTAAATTTGGGGATTTGTAGGTTCTCAGTTGTCCAGGTTGTGTGAGTCTTGAGCACAGGGAGGAGCGTCCCCATGGGGGTGGTCCTGAGGGTTGTTGATCATGTGAACAAATTTGTGACAAAAGGCGTGGGTCATTACGAGCAGACGTTTCAGCTCTTGAGACTAAATGTCTTCACAAACTTAAAAAAGTCCATCTGGTCATTCTAAGAGTCAGAGAGGAGGATTATGCAGGGTATGTACAACAGGCTGTCGATTACAGCTTGCATTCTATAAGCCAGTGAGCTTGAGGTTTCATAGTCAAATTCACAATATGTGGTCGTTTCACCAGTCACTATGTTAACGACTGCAAAAACTTATAGGCTTTTTGTTAGGTCCATCTTTTGGAAGTAACCATGAGAAGACTAAAGGAAAGCTGCCAGAACTCACTTAATTATATATTGAATATGACCTGAAGTGAGTGACTGAGGCCATAAACTTAGTGTTTACAAAGGGCTGTTCTCTGATAGAACTAGAAGTCTTTTTCCAACCACACATTTCCCCCCTGGTGGTCATGAAAAAGAATGCAGTTTTAAGGCACTTTAGTGTTAGCATCACCTTTTAAACCTTCATAGTTTCAACTGTCTGTTTGCTAATCAACACACATCGCATTTGTTCACTAGGGTTTTGCAATTTATGTATGAGGTTATTTTTAGGGCAGAGACCTTTTATCTCAGCTTCACTTTAATTACAATTTTTTCTTTTTTTCAGTGCAGCATTCAGACTTTGTAAATTTTTTGGAAAAAAAGTGCCCTCCATGAACTTTCTCATTTGTTTTAAGAAGGCGACGTTTTTAATACTTAATTATACAGAGAAATGACACAAAGAGGCGCCTCTTTTTCTGTTTTCTCGATTACAGAATGAAATCGTGTATAAATATTTTTTTCTTCATGGCTCCAGGACTGGCAGTTTGTGGTGAGCTCGAAGCACCACACAAATACCAGAGGGAGGGACACATTTTGTGCAGCCGCAGTCTCGGGCAGACAGATTTAACACCTAACATTTCCAGACGAGTCCAACAACCTCCACGCAAGCATAGCCCGGCAGCTGTTTATGTGAAACCCTGTAAAATGCACTCCCGCTTGGCGCTTCCTGCTTAGATAATCCTGTTTAAGTCCAATGAGGAAACTTGAAACTGCTGGAAAAATCACTTTTTAACAGTAGTCAAAAAAAATGAGAAGTGAGGTGGAGCTGCTGTCAAAAACATTTAAAGAGAGTGAGATTAAGACTGATGGAAAATACATGTGACAGACTGGGTGACAACATACTCACTGTGCTATAATTTTGGGCATGTTGCAGCTCCTCAGCTTGTAAAAACCTTTAATTGTCTGTGGTGTTGTAAAAAAACAAAACAGGAGGCCATGCTAATAAACTACTGAGTTGCATGACAGTAGAGCTTTATATTTGTTAAGGGGTGTAATAAAATTTAAAAAATCTTTTTTCCCAGCAAAGATAAAGTTAAATAAAAGTCACTCACCTCAGTCATGCACAGGTTGACAGATTTAAAACTTCCGTATGCAAAACAAAGAATTCAGATCCACGTTTGGAGCCGGTCACTTAGATAAGACTCCCATCTTCTCTCGGGCAGAAAAGCAGCAGCGAGAGGTCGTGGGTCACTCGGCATACGTGACAGCTGAGCAGACGCTGCTGGACTGAAGAGCGAGCAGCCCTCCACTGTGATTCACTCCCTCTCATCCCTCAGAGGGAGGAGGACCAGCCAGTAGTGGTCCACACTTGTGTTTTGGAGGAGGTCTTTCCTTTTCCTGAGAGAAGTGAAAGCCATGCATGCTTCACTGCCATCGAACTCCAAAATAAAAATTCCAAACTGCGCTGAAGTCTTTTATTTTAGCTATTCTATCCTCTCCAGGTATGACCCACACACTCCTGACCAGAGGGAGGTGATCTCTCTCCTGCTGGATGACCAACACTGAGGTCTGTTCACAGTTAAGCCAGGAGGGTGGAACAGGAAATAGCTAGGTGGCAGCTGTGGGCATGGGTCCACGCTGCTGTGGGGGCTCCTGGATTAATTGAGCTCTTTGTGTTTTAATCTGAGCCTGGAGGGGAGTAAAAAGAGCTCAGAGTGAGGTTTGTGGAGCAGGAGAGGAGACCGATGAATAGATTGATACTTCATGGGGAAATCTGACTTGGACTTTACAAAGCTGGAGCTTTCCACACGACACCAGGAGATACAAATTGTAAAACCTATCAAACAACCGAAACAGGAGATGCTCATAGTTGATTTGAGCTACACTGCAGTGTCACACAGCCGACACATTGTTAATATAACTGATCAAAAGAGCAAAATAGTTCTTAAACCAGTCCAGTTTGCACCTTTGAACTCAGTCCAGCAGCCCAGAACACCCAATCAACATAAGTACATGCCAGGTTATCATGTTTTAAGGAAACTATATGGTCACTAAGATTTTTGTAGGGCTGCACTTGAGTAATTGAATAACCATGGGACTGTGGTCGTCAATGTGTGTGTCAAAAATAATCTCCTCTGTCTTTTATTACATTTAAAAACTCATTTCACTTTCGCTGCTTGATTTTAGCAAAACCATACAGGCTTGGAGACCCTTGGAAACCACTGGTTGCTAGGGACAAATAAGGATTCCACAACTGGTTGGCAATTGATTGCCTACAGTTGTTAGGTCAAATGGAAATTCTCCTTGCGTCAGGTTGCTAGCAGTTTCATGGAAGACACCAACTCATCTGTAACCACTCACCAACTACTTGCAGAGCAGCAGTGAAACTTGAAAAGGTGCGATGCAAACCAGAAATGGAGAACATTAACCTTCAAAATAAAAGTAAAGCACTATTTTGCTCTGAAGGTCAAGTTTGTGTTGCACTTTTCCAAGTTTCATTACAACTCTGTGAATGTTTGCAGACAAGTTGGCATCTTCCATACAAACTACAGGCAACCACAGCAATCTACAAGCAACAAAACGCAATCACAGGCAGGTCTTTGGTTCAGCACCCTGTTGGCAACCATTTTCAAATCAACTAATACTCAACCACTGGTCTGGGGAATACACACATTTCTTCTTAGCGACTGGAGACTGCAAGGGGGTTGCCAACTGGTCTATAGCCCTGTGTGACTGAGAGCTTTGTCAAAAAGGTAAGTCTATATTTTTCCATTCAATTCAACTGAAGAAACTAAATTCATTTAAGTGAACTGAAGTGAACCTGACTCTGTGGCCTGCTGGGAGTGAATTTAAACCTCAGCCGAAGCCAAAATATGAATAATTCCACAGAACTGGATATGAGCGCATTCATCATTTTAACAGTATGTGCGACAGAAAATAACAAAAACCAACACAGCCCCCCTTTAATTTCTAAAAGTATGAGCATATAATTCTACAGACTGACTACAGCGATGAAAGCAGGGCTTTTCTTTCTTATTTATACTGGTGCTTTTTCCTGTAACACTAACCCAGACTCTTAAGTATTGCAAAAGACCTGTTTATGCGGTTGTAAAGTACTATTCTGAGTCTAGTGAGCGTTGATGTGGCACTCGCTGGTGTTTTTAGCACAGCAATAAGCGGTTATTATGTGGTTGCTGTCATTCAAACACTCAGGGTTGGTCAAGAGAAAAATATGTCCCTAAAATCACTCTGAGGCTAAAGCCCAAAACAATGATCCAACTGCTGAGGGACATTCCTGCGTGCATATTCCTCCTAATTTAATGCACTCAGTAACGGCTGGTGAACCTCCGCCCTTTTTGTCCACAGTGCGGGGTTTATCTGCTCCAGCTGCCTGTGTTATGTCAGGCCTGTCCTCTTCCTGATGCTGTGTAGGAATAACATAGCACTTTGCAAATTCCCCAGATTCCCGATCGCAACTGCGCACGGGTAGAACACCAAGCAAAACACTACCTTCCTTTCACCCGCCGCGCTTGTCTCCACTGGCTAAAAAACAAGAGTGGATGTCACTGTCGTGACTGAGAGCGACTTGCTCGCTGATGCAGAGATGTTTGTGGAGCTGTGGAAACAGGTCGGCTTGTTTTTCCCCACCAGTGACTAATGTTTTCCTGCATACAGGCAGTGATTAACTTAGGGCTGGCTGTTTTTTTTTAACACACAGAAAGATGGGCTTTGTGATGCTCACCATTTACCAGTAAATACACTGGCCCTCACACCACAACCGCATTCAGTGTCAGCTGCAATATGAGCCATTCAATTCTCATAAAACTGAGCTGGAGCAGAGAGATTAACTTTGGGAATAATTTGGTAAGAAAAGACAAGTCCCTCAAAGTATTTTTACAACTAAATTAAAATGATAACGTACTGAAAGACAGACAAAAGAGATCTTTAATAATGCGATAGCACAAAAGTTAGGATAGTTAATTAAGTTGCTGGCTGGAGGGAGTTATTAGAGAGCAACACATCAAAAGGCCCAGAATGACAGTGAGGAGCTTAATAAGTTGAGTCATTTTGTTGTGGGGAGCAAACCACAACTGTGGGAGAAGTTAACTAATGCTTAAATCCCGCTAAAGGGAAACCTACTTAAAAAAAAGAAACATGGGCCAAAATAAACAAGCTGCAACCTCTGGCGGTGGAAAAATTGAGCCTGTAGTTGCTCCAAAAGCAAGTCAAATCTCATAAGACCCCCAAGTTTAAATTTCGTCCTTTATAACAACAGTGTGGAGGTGACTTTTGTTTTTAGCTGATCCGTCTGGTGAGTAAAAAGCATGGCTGCTTACATTGACAGGTGTACCTCACTGGTGTTATAATAGCAAAAAATGTAGGTGTCCAGATTCTGCAAATGAGGTGTAGAAAATACTATAAAAATTAGGAGAAATGTATGATAAATGTATTTTGGCTATTTAGTACAAATATGAGGTGCAGCACCTCAAAAGGCACAAAAAGTGACTGCTTTAGGGTATTCTATGTTTAAGAGATAAGACTCTTCACTGTTTCTAAGTCAGCAAAATATGAGAGAAGCTGTGGCGTTGTTTAATTTAAACCCTTTGTGCAAAAGAGGATCTATCATTTAGTTGTTATAATTATATTGAAAAAGATTTCACGTTATTCTCAGATGGATTTTTTTTTTTTAGCATTTTCATCATTTTAAAATTTAAAAATCCCCCTAAATAGTTTGTTATATCTTTTTTTTAAAATCTCAACCAAAGAGCTTCTTTGAGTTGATACAAGGAAGATGCATCAATTAATCCAAGAAATAATCCGCAATGTATTAAAAAGAATTGTTACAGTGTTTACATAGGGAAACAAATCAGTCTGTGGAGTTTTATTTTTAAACATTTAAACAATTTACTGATATCAGCCTTTCGAGTTTGTGATCCTTACAAGAAATCAAACCCAGATTGTGGCCTTTCATCCCAGGTTCCAAGCTGTTCAGTTTTTATAGCACTAAAGACAGTTTCCAGTATTTTACAATGAAAAGGAGGACTGTAACTATATCCTACTGTACCTAAGATCTCTCTCCCTGTTCTTGACCCTGGAGTCACTTTGTGGGCCCTCAGGATGTAAACTACTGGTCTAGACTGGTGTTTGTCCTCTAATCTCTGAACCTTACACAAGCAGCGTCTTTTCCAAATGTAAAAAAAAATAAAAAAAAGTCATTTTGTTTTCTTGGCAAACTCTTTCCTGCCTCCGCCTTCACTGCCGAAGTTCCGGACGCGGTGAATCTTGGCCAGCTGGCTCTCTATGGTCTTCATTATGTCCATATGGTCGGGGATGTGGACATAGCGGATGTTCCTGCCAGTGATGAATAGGTCCTGCAGCTGTGTGAGCTGACCCCGCCGGTCCCGGTACAACACGTCCTCTAGCCGTACGTTCATGAAGGCATCTACGTTGACCACGCGTCCACGTGCCGTGCTCTCGTTCCTCAGGTCCACCGTGGTCACCTCTCCCTGAAGGCCCTGCAGGAGGATCACCATGCTGTTCTCTGTGATCGTTCGCTCCCGAATAGAGTTCACCACCTCAACCGGCCCCACGCCGGATGGCTGAGACTCAGCTCCCTTGGGCTCCATAATAACCTGCAGAAAAGCAGAAGATTGATAACTCTGGATTAGAGTCTGTCATGCAGTGTTGGTACCTGAGACGTGTTTCTGTGGTTTACTGATTCTGACCTTGAAGCAATAAAGCAAAAATTAGCAAAACCTTGCACACTTTGTGGACAGAATATTAGAATCAGAAAATGAGAAAACACAGGAACATGTCAAATAGAAAATGTCCTGCACAGCTTAAATGCGATTTATCTCATCTGCCACAAACCAATCCTGCATTTAATAAACATCAGACGACTAAGAGGCTGTGGTCAAATCGTTAAAAAAGATTTCCCTCCCTCCCTCCATCTTTTCTTAATCACTTTTCTGATTGAAAATAAGGTAAAGGAAGAAGAATTTCTGAGGACTCAGGAAAAGAGCACCATGCCCAGACAATGTGACTGCATCAATGTTAGATCCTCTTAGGCTGTTAATGGGGCTCTACTGAAACTGCAATGTAGGGACCACGAAAAGGCTGTCTTAGATACTTTCTTACTGCGTTTTTTTAATGGAGCTCACAAAAAACACACATAAAAAGAATGAAGTGAATTAAATGTTTCCAGTCTTATTTTCTTTATCTGCTGGAGAGATGATCCAATGTAACTTTGGAAACTGTTACAAGTTCTGAGGAAAAAACAAAATAATTTTATTCCACTGTCACTTATTAAAAATCAGGGGATCAATACCAGCTGACTTGACATAAAGTCAATTAATGGTAATCCTAATTGCCAAAACAACTACTTCTTCTCCTCCTTTTTTCAGCAGCTCACTGAAGGTTGCAAATCCGCCTTCATCTCATCCTAACCCTAACGTCCTCTGTCACCACCAACCATCTGCATGTCCTCCTTCACTACAGGAATCCTTTGAGGTCTTCATATTCAGCATCCTTTCTGCACATATCCAAACCACGCCAGCCTCCTCCTGCCTCACTGTCACATCAGCTTCTCATTCAGACACACGTAGTCTGTTTTGCATCTCGTGACTATCATATCCCGTAACCGCATTTTCTTTATTGGTCCAAAAAACACTTTCATATTTGGCTTTCAAAGTAACCCCCGTATATGCACATTACAGCCGAATATAAATGGTAATACAGAAGATATAGTGTCATATACTGCAGTGTCATCTTAGCTTTAACTAAACCTACAGAAAACATAAAAACACGTTTAAAATGACACTCAAAGTTGTATCTGAAAGCACAAAGTTAGTCTTCCCTGTTAGCTTTTCTTTTTTTAGCGTTTCCTTAGCTTTAGCAGCGACTAAATAAAGCTCCAAAATGCGTAAAACATGAGTGTAAATCAAAGCTTCTCCCTCCGTTGATGTCTGTAACATTTACCTGAATTATTTAAACACAGGTTTCATGTAGAAGCGAAACACCGACCTGCTGAAACCTCTCAAAACATCTCAACACGTTCGTTTTCCCGCAGAAACCCGACGGAGGAGCAGCGACGTGATGACGTTTCACCGTCGTCTTTGCGTCAACCGTTTAAAAAAATAAAAACTTTATTCATAACCAGCTTTAATACAATACAATCCAGGACATAAATGAGGAACCCGAGAACAGGATGTCATCACAGCAACATTATTTTTCACATATATGCTGGATTTCAAAGCTGCAAAGTATATATTAAGATTAACAAATTTGCTCTCTGGAGTGTAAAATTTTATTAATTAAGCGAAAATTCTACTGACAGTTTTAGAACATCATAAAACACCCAATATAAAACCACACAAAAGAAATACATTAAAAATGTTAATCTTATATGTGTTTAAATTGGTGTTTTTGTTTGTTTTGTTTTTGGATAAATTCAAGTTATACATAAAATCTTCTAAACTACTTAAAGGAAATAAACCAGAAAAATCATACGATATTCTAAACTGTTTTTCCCACCATTGCCATTGTATGCGTGTATGACTCTTTTATTTAATAGTACACCTTGTTGAAAGGATGATGCTAAATGATCTTATGCCTACATGAACGTTTATACTCACTGCTCTGTTCCCTTTTGTACCTTATTGGATTCATACAGTACTAGTTGTCATATTTAAAATATAAGTATTAAAATTAATTAATTAATCGATTAAAAGCCGAATAAACAAAGAGCAAAGGCTCCGAATCAAAGAAACCTTCATGAGATTGTTCTTTTCTTACAAAGCCAAGACAACAGCACCCCCTACAGGTTGCTGCTGCAGAAACGAAATCGTCTCAATGAACATTTATTTTCATTATCCAAATATTAATTTATAGCTTATTTAAATTAGCACGTGTCCAAATAGATGTCGTATTTAAAAATATGATCAATCCTTTTCATTTAATTTCTTCCCTGCCTCACAGCAACATTTGCAACTCATTTTGTTTTACAGCATGTAAACACGAGCCAGCCTAATCATGTAAATATAAATAAATACTTTTATTTAACATTAAATTGTTAAAAAGAAAATAAAACCTCAAACACAGCAGGTGTTACCGTTTAACATCCAAGTCAGTTCAGCTGCAATTTAAACATAGAAAATAGTTTCTGTCTATTGTAACTGTGTTATAATGTTGAGTTCTTGCATCTGTTTCACTGAATACTGCATATTTCAGATTAAAGTTCACAGTGGAGATTAACCATCCGATCATCAAACAACCACAGACTGAATAAATGAGTCAGAGGCCGTCCATCATGGCCAGGAGCTCTTCTCCCTTGTTGTTGCTGGGTTTTTCGGGTTTCTCTTCTTCTTCTTCTTCTTCAAACTGTCCGGCGATGCGAGCCAACTCCGATGCCGCCTGCTCATCCTGAACCAAAAACTTGGATTAAGTTCATCACAGATGTTTTAAGAGAGACATGGCAGTCATAACAACAGTCCAGAGTGTAGCCAGACACTCACACTAACACACTTTTTGCCAGATTTTCTGTTTATATTGTTAGGTTTGTTCACGTGCTCAGCAGTTGCCTTTTTTTTTTTAAGTCAAACTAAACTGTTTTCTTGACTGTGGTTTAGTTTTAGTTCACTGAAATACCCCAGAAGAGTCTGCATGATCATACCTGCATTGCTTGAATATTTATCACTCCATACAAGGACTCCTCAGCACTAGCTGATGCTCCTCTGTGAAACAAGATAAAAAGGCCTTGATGAGGAAATTTATGTTAATGTAACAACAGGGAATTAAAATAGAAAAGAAGAACACCCACGCTTCCGCCTCCTCTTTGTCTGTGTTGAACAGGTTGATTCGAAAACCCGATTCGTCTTTGGGCTTGTTCTCCGTCTTCATGCTGCCCATCAGACGAGCCAGCAGGTTCAGCTCCTCCTTCGCCAGCGGGTTGGGAGAGCCGTCTGCCTGCAGCACGATGGAGGTGCAGAGGCAGGTTATAACAGAGCTGTGAAAATAGTATTTGCCCCTTTTCTGATCGTTTTCTATTTATTATACTTATATGTTTCAGGTCATCAAACAAATTCTAATAATAAAGAAAGAGAACCAGACTAAATACAAGATGCAGTTTTTAAATTATATAATTTATTAATGGAAAAACGTTCTCCAATGCTACCTGGCCCTCTGAAAACTCCCCCTAAACCCAATAACTGGTTGCATCGCTGCTGGCAGCAAGAACTACAATCAAGCGTTTTATTGAAAATGAGTCTTTCACATCCCTGTGGAGGAATTTTGGCCCAATCTTCCTTACAGAGATGTTTTTAATTCAGCCAAACTGGAGGGTTTTTAAGAAAGAACAGCCTGTTTAAGGTTCAGGGCAAGAAATGATAGCTGGAGATTCTCCTTCAGGTTTTTTTTTTAGTAGAAATCAGAATTCATGGTTCCACTAGTTTTGGCAAATCATCCAGCAAACCTGCGTCAGACCATCACGCTGCCACCACCATGTCTGACTGTTGGCATGATGTTCCTTT